ACTCCAGTGTGCTGTGGCCCAAAAATTACCGGCATCGTGGCCGGCATCACTTTGGCGTTGCGGTTATATTTTACGCAGTGAAAAGTTTTTATATTGTTTTACTTGTATATTTCACTTGTCTTTTTAAATCTTGTATATGTTTTAGTGCCTACATACCAATGAATGAAAAATCTAATCTAGCGTCTCGAAGGATTCTTGGGGCACAAAGTAGGGAATTTGTTTACAACGTGTATCAACATTTTGTCGAAGACCGGGACATGAAGTTGAAGGCGGGAGACGACGACACCGTCCGGGAGAGTCCATTGTTAAGAACAGCAGCTGTAACGAACGTTGGGAAGACTACAGTCTACCGCATACAATGTGAAGCCCAGAATGGTGCCAGCCTGAAGTCACCAAGCCGATCCTGACCAGCTGCAGCAAGACCAAGGGTGGATCTAGATCCGTTCGATGTTTGCGCGATGAGGAGAATGGTACACCAAATGTACATCGACGGAAAACATGTTACTCTGGACACCATCACGGATGCTCTTCACGAACAGCTCGGCGTCACCACGTCTAGATCCACCGCAAGAAAACACCTACTCGCGAACGGATTTAAGTACCGAAGGATCGACAAGCACAAGATCTTGATCGAGAAACCTCATATTGCAGCAACGAGATGCTTGCGGGAGATGAGGAGGCTGCGTAGAGAAGTTCCAGATAGCGAAATCATGTATACCGACGAGACATGGTATAATCAGTGCGATATGGAGGACTTGGCGTGGCTGGACGGTAGTCAAATCAACGGACGGAAGAACGCCATTGGAAAAGGAAAACGTTTTATCATAGTCCATGCCGGCTCTTCAGAAGGATGTATATCCGGGCGCGCTTCTCCACCTCAGGACCGATGGCAAGAACGCCGACTACCGTACGTCGATGAACGCCGACTGCTACGAGAAGTGGTTCACGGAGTGCCTGCTTCCGGACGTGCCAGAGCAGTCTGTGATCATCATAGATGCCTTTCATTCCCGTTTGTGCCAAAAAGTGCCAACTTCTAGCTGGCGTAAAGCGGAAATCCAGGAGTGGTTGCAGAAGGCAGGTGTGACCATCGACGAAGACGTGCGGAAGGTGGAGCTGCTGGAGCCAGTCAAGTCCCAGAACCGGAAGAATGAATATTTTCTGGACAACCTTGCTAGAGATCATGGTCATCGGATCGTTCGTCTGCCGCCGTATCACTACGACTTGAACCCGATAGAGTTAGTGTGAGCACAGATGAAGCGCGTGATAAGACGGGGGAATTTGACGGGGCGGATGGAGGAGGTGGAACGGCTGGTGGAGGCAAGTGTCGCAGCTGTCTCTCCAGAGGACTGGAGTAAGTGCTGTGAGCACGTCAAAAGGCTGGAGCAGCAGTATTGGACGAATGACGGGCTGCTAGAAGATCTCCCACCGATTGTCGTAACAACCGATGATAGCAGCGACTCCGGCACAGACTCCGGCAGCGACAACGATGAATGAGAACAGTATGACACTGATCATGAGAAGTGTTTCCGTTTCGTTCTTTTCAACTGACTTCGTAGCGTTGTTACGTTGTTCAACTGGCATGTAGTTACGTGTGGGGTGTTTGAGCTGGATGTATTGTACACATACCTGCAGCTGAAGGTTCAGCGTTTTGTTGAATACCTTCAATAAAACTAAGCGAATCAATTTTCTGTGTTTGGGATTTTCCCATGTTATTCATGAAATAGCACCAGTTTGGAGCAATTACCGAATGAAAGTATAGCATAACTTGCTTCAGAGGTACGCAATGAATTTAGAACGTAAAAATAATTGCCAACGAAAATAACCCCAGTGCCAACAATATATATATATATATATATATATATATATATATATATATATATATATATATATATATATTTCGACCAATCATATGAACATGCAGTTGCTGCAAGCAATGCAAACATCCAAAACTGCTATTGCTTCGAGAGATCCGCAGTGCTGTCCTGCAGGCCTTCCGAGCAATTTTGTTGGGTTTGAAAAAATTTCCGCAAGATGCTCGTGGCGAATTGATTGACCAGCTTTAATTCCGTTCCTTCTTACGATCAACAGAGCATAGTAATTGATTCATATGCACGCTTTGCACGAACAAGAACTTCGCAACACAACAAAGGACATCATTTACATCATTCACTACGCCAGAAACATGCACGCAATACCACCGCAAACGTCACTGAGCGCATGCGAGCCTTTTGGCGAATCGATATTGGCTGCCGCCGCACGAAACCAATCCACACCCAACGGGCAGCAGCGGGAAGACGCATTTGGACTGCACATCTTGAACGTGCGGTGTTGGTTCTCTCAGAGCTCATGTTCAATGATGGCAAATGACAAATCGGCTCATCCCCCGACCGATTTTAGAAACGGATACCCGTATAAGTCAGAATTCATCACAGGGGTTGATCCAAACACGCGCGTCGCAACACGATTTTGGAGAGGAGCAAGCAGATAGTACGTCGCCAGGTTGGATGCCTGGCAGAGCCAGCGCACAGCTTCGTCCTCTACTCTGTCTAGCAAGCAAGCAAGCAAGCAAGCTCTAGACTCGCCGCTAGCAGGCATTCGGCCCGCACGTCTTGAGCCAGTTCTGTGAGTAGAGTATATAGTTATCCCACGCAGACGTAGCAATCACCAGCGGTATGTTGTATGTTGAGAATGTTGAGCTACCAGAAGGCGTCTTGGCAATTAGTGACTTTAGTAGCAACTAAGGTGATGGACGATTCTGAGCGCCAGATGACCGTAGACGTCGGCCCGCCCCTTAACCTCAATGGTCATCAGATTGATCCTTATACAGGCCGGTTTGCTCCAGGTATGCTTTTTTGGTGCCCGGCCATAGCTACCTTTGTCGGTTGTCAAGCTCCATTACATAATACAGAATGAGAAGGCAGGCTAAATCAAGGCCGGTCGGAGGTCCATCCCAGAAGCGTTACTCGTCGTCAGTGCGCTCGACCCGACGGCCTGATCCACTTGAACGACGTTAGATGGCATCGTTAGAGGAAACGCTGCCACCAGATGGCTCTGCGCGGCACTGGCGGGGGCGCTGAGTGGCGCGCCTCACGCCAGGCGGTCATCCGTATAGCGCGGTACCAGACCCGACACGGACCTCTGACTGTGGCGCTCTGCCGAACGGTACAACGGCCCGACCCGCAGCCCATCCCAGCACGGTGCGGTGGTCTGCGTCCGGGCCAACATCAGAGCCGTACAACAGTGGGCGTCCCGACCCGGCCCAGGGCGCTACAATGGTCCACGTCCGGACGCACGTCGGCCGAGACGGGCACAAAGGCCAGAGCCAGACAATAGCTCCCGTCATTCATCGGCGACGACGGAGGCACAGCGGCAACAGGGCACCGCCGGCCGCTGACAGACGGGGCTAGGGGCGTACTGGAGACCAAACCACCAGCTCCGACCCCGCCGGCCGCTGGCAGATGGAGCGAGGGGCGGACTGGGGACCAAACCACCAGGTCCGACCCCGCCGAACGCTGGCAGACGGGGCTAGGGGCGAACTGAGGATCAAACCACGAGCTCCGGCTCCACCGGCCGCTGGCAGACGGCGCGAGGGGCGGACTGAGGGACAACCGGCCGCTGGAAGATAAGCGCTAGAGGACGGGCCCCGTGACAGATGCTGTCGCGTACAGCCCGTGTGACTGATCTTCAGGAAGTCAGGCGGTCGCTGCGAGCACGGCCGGGCAAACGCGCTCATTCCTGAGGACAGCTGCATGGAAGCGGCGACAGCTGGGGGCAGCATATCACGCCGGGTGCATTTCGTCATTTCATTTTGGTTTCCTCTTATAAAAATGGTCTGCTGAGGATAACACATCAGACCGCAACCCTCGTTTCACATTTTGTTTCTCTGCCTACAACACACACAAGTTCCATATCAATACGATCCGGTTTCGTTAAACAATGAAATAAACGCCAAATGTTTCGCGATCGTCCGACCAGCGTAGGACGGCAGAAAGTCCACAGGATAAGAGCGTTGGTCAGCTTCTCAATGTCACACGTTTGCCATGACATTGGAACGGGTGAATAGTAGTACCGCAGTGTTCAGGTATATCATGCAATATACCAATGATACCTCAGCAGCACAGATCGCTCGAACAGAACACCGGCACAGCAGGCTATAAGTACTACCTCAAACGGACCTGGGCCCCGCTACTCGATATGGCCGATGGCGCATTTATTCACTGTACCAAGTTTGCCAGAGAGCAGTGTTCATTTGCCAGGTCCAGTCTTTCAGGTTAAAAAAATGCATACACAGTATAGACACATAAAAATAAAAAATGGATATCGGGTTTCTAAAGCGAAAGAAGATGCTCCAACTATAGCACAACTGGCTACCAGAACCCTAAACAATATTAAAACCGTACCCGCATACCTCCATCCCACAACTACAAAGTGCATCGTTTGGGCCCAATGGCAGTTAGAGCCTCGCATGTTCTTCCACCTCAGCTACCCGAGCAGGGGCAGTTTGGTCCCGGTGGAGATGTGCTGCCTGGCCGGCTCGGGCAGCGTCGGCCGCCCGCCCTGAACAGAGGCAGCTTAGTCACGGGTGAGATGTGCTGCTTGGCCGGCTCGGGCTGCGGCGGCCGCCTCCCTGAACAGGGGCAGCTTGGTCCCAGTTGAGATGTGCTGTCTGGTCGGACTCAGGTCGCGGCGGCCACCCGCCCTGAACAGGGGCAGCTTGGTCCCGGTTGAGATGTGCTGTCTGGTCGGCTCAGGCCGCGGCGGCCGCCTCCCCGAACAGGGGCAGCTTGGTCCCGGGTGGAGATGTGCTGCTTGGCCGGCTCGGGCCGCGGCGGCCACCCGCCCTGAACAGGGGCAGCTTGGTTCCGGTGGAGACGTGCTGCTTGGCCGGCTCGGGCCGCGGCGGCCGCCTCCCCGAACAGCGGCAGCTTGGTCCCGGTTGAGATGTGCTGCTTGGCCGGCTCGGGCCGCGGCGGCCACCAAGCCCGTCGGGCTCCACTCACCTGGAAGTCGACGTGTCGGCTCTTGGCCTCCTCCTTCTCCCAGGACATGTGTATGAAGGGCCGCTGCACGTAGTTATAGATGACCTCTGCTCGGCCGCCGGGCCGCGTGCGCACTTTCTCCTTGTGCGTCGGGTAGCCCTCGATGCCCAGCCGAATCTTCTTCAGACCGCGCTCCTTGAGCACCTGCCGGAGACGGGCCGACCATTCAGCGCGACACGTCGGCTAACAGCACCAACAGACCAGCAGACCTGTCTCGCACGGTCAGGTCCACCTCACACTACACCCAGTCCGAAGTGAATGAACACTTGACTGTGAAGTGAATGGATACTTGGCGTCACTTGACTGTGAAGCAGATATATTGAAAAGGGGCTCTTAGAGTACGTCTTTGCACAGAAGATAATGTCTAAATTCAGTACGAGCAAGAGCGAGTCTTTCTGTCTCCTCCCACCACAAATTACTTTAATAGAACCAGCCAACAAAGCACAAAGGTGACATAATGATCTCGAGATTGCACACAATCCAATCGCGAGGTGCCCGTCGGCTGCAGCTAACGAACACAAACGCCGCAACACAATGCCAGGGATATACCAATTACGTCCACAAAGGTTGTCAGGGAACAGGGCGATTCTGCCTGCAGTTGTCAGCGTTAACGACGCTGGCAAGCGCACGTCAAACGTCCAACAATACAGTGAGCCTAGCTGTTTGAATTCCAGTGGCATAGTGCTGCGACATTTTCAGACCGGAAACCGGAAAGGCCGGAAACAAAGACCAAAAGTGGCCATGGTTCAGCTGTTCAAGGGTCGATAAGGTTGAAAAGGTACTTATAAAGAAACCAAGAAAGTAAGAACGTAGGAACGAACTGCTTCCATCTGACAGAGACAAAAATCATGTTCAGCACCACAAAACGCTTTATTAAACGACATTTAGTTGGCCTCTACCGAACTGCTCGTAAAACAAACCATTTGTTATCAGTAAAAAATCGTTAAAAAGCAAATGCGTTTTCTCAGTAGACTTCGCGATCGCACTGACATTAAGATAAATTGCATGAAAATCTAAAACACGCTTCTTAGAACAGCACTGTGATAAACCAGATTCATCATGGACTATTGCCATAAGCACGCAGTTAATTTCATAATCCAATCAACGGCACAACAGTTGAAGGTAATCATTCCGATGGATTACGGTTTGGGCCATTGCCTGTCTATAATCTCAGCTTTATGAAAATTATCAAATGGATGCGAATACACATGATTCCAAGCGCACTGGCTGACAAGGGCCACACGGCACCACCATCACCATCTAGCGCTGTTTACGGCTCTCTCAGTCTTTTTAAACATGAAAACAAATACGCATGATGTCCTCGCTTCATAATCTGCATGACTTAAGAAAGAGCTCGTGCTTTGGAATAAACCCAAAGTAAGGGCGTCAGATGCATGCGTAGCTTTCACATTATCGGCACCGCTAGACGGGTATCGCTCCTTTTCTGACCGGGGCAACGTTGTGAGGCCTACTTCCGCATCTTGAAAAAGACAAATTTGGAACTTGTAAGGCAGCCGTCCAACCGTATTGTGAAATACATAGCATTCGCATAGTTCCCATGGACGGGTAGCGCCGACCTGTGGACGGGTAGTGGAGCGGTTGTCGGACCTCTGCTGGACGCTGCTAAGTCTCACTCACCCCAGCCACCAACGCGCCACTGTACCAGCGGTATTGTGAGCGATGTGGTAAGGAGACATGGCGTGGAAGGGACACATGACGTGGAAGGGACACATGGCGTGGAAGCGTCAAATGACGTGGAAGCGTCACACGGCATGGAAGCGTCACACTCTGCCACCTTTTGTAAAAAAGGAACGCCAGGTACGCCGGCACTGCCCTCTTATGGATAGCCCGCAACTGCATTTGTAATATTGACGCTCAGGGGTTGTGGCGCAATCGGGATTTGAAAGCAGGCGCCCCAAGTGGGAGTTCGACGCACCAACCGCCTGGCCATTAGGCCTCGCAATTTGCCACCGTAAGCAACCGGAGAAGACCATATTTCTTGCGTTGGATTTCACTTACAATTTGACGCTGTTTTTCTCACTGTCATCATTCAGAATCAAACTGTGCTATTCTTCATGATTTCACTAGGTCCTGAAGAATTTATCGATAATCTGGCATGACAACTGCCCTCGTTTACGCAACCCAGTAACTCAATCGTGCTCGCAAAGTTCGTCACAACTAGTATCAAAAGCTTACAACTGTCCTGAAGATGTCAGATGCAGGATCGCAAACGATGACGTCACGATCGTGCAGAAAACAACGGAACATCACGCGTTTTTAGGAATGATGAAAACGTGAGAAACTGCCACATGAGAAGTTGGTAAAATGCTTGGCACGAAACTGGCGTCATGCTGAGCGACAAACAAACTGGAAGACACACATTTTCGGGACACCAACACTTTGTATTCATTTTAGTTGCATTCAACTTTGGTGACCTGTAGCCAGTGCCCGCACCATGGAGCGCGGAAAGGGCTGTGCGCGGGACGAGGTGGGACAGCGAAGATCAGACGTAGTTGGATAAGTGAATTCTACATTGCGGGGAATGGGGCCCCGAACCTGTTACAGCACTGCGATGAGGCATACCAATCCTACAGCAACACCTCGCGTAGCCGAGGAAAAAATCATTTCCTGAGGCAGGTAGCGACTGGATATTCTCAATGAAATCGTCAGTGTCCGGACAGAAGAATCAATAAACAAGAAGCAATAGAGCGGCTGGATCAAAATAAGGTGATTTACTGATCCAAACGTGCGGCGAAAGTCTGGCTCCTGCACTGCACGACACCACGCGCTGCGACAATTGCGCGGCACCGTCGAGAGGTGTGCCCGACACCGGACTGGGCAGCTGGTGAGCCACACATAGGTCGAGTACCACGTCCGGTGCCGTGCGAACCATGCACGGATAACCAACCACGGGGCAGGTCCTGCGCAGTACGGGTCATACCCAGGTAACGTTCTCGACCCATCAGTGCGCCTGCCGTGCTGGACAGTTCAGCGTGCGGACCGCGCTTGAACAACGGTCCCCGCGGACGGGACCCTCGGTGGTACGGAGCGCACTGCCGCCTGAGGACCAGCCGCCATCGGTGGGCAGAGCAAAGCGGCGGGGGTCGTTAGCGCCGCTCGTGTCATCATCGACCGTGTGAGCTTGTACGAGCGACCAGGCCACGTTCGGCGCCCCCGGCGGCGGCGCCCAACTGGCGCGGGGATGAGCTTCAGTACTGGCGACGACCCCACCACGGCAGTATCTGGGCATCACCGGAAGGGCTCAGCACAACTCTGTTATTACATAAGCTGCACAATGAATCTCTTGTGATATAAATTATATGATCGCACATGCCGTAATATATGGTTATTGAAAAAAAATACTTATATCTTAACCTGATGGCCACGCAATGTTGGTTCTGCCACTCAGCTCCATTTACGGGGTCATAATCATACATCACTACATCACAGACAGCTCTAAGGGACTGGGCATGCTGACAAAATTTAGCAATATGTACGAATGTACACAGTATCTAGCAAAGTGACGGAAAAACGCATCTAGCCACAAGCGCCGATGGCTGTGCATGTCCAACATGGTTTGTATATCTTCCTTTTCATATTCCTGTTTTGTGTTATCATATTCATCCCACATTTGGCTCAACCGGGGTTCACTGAAGAGAAGTGAGATTTAAATATTAAAGCTATCACAAACTCATCCGCACAGATTGTATGTCATCATGTGTAAGATGGCGCTGCACGTAGTCCCCAAAGGATATGATAGGCAGGGAGTATCCTAGAATTGTCGACATTGGGTGCAAACAACACCATATGCGGACCACTTTCCACCCATTTGCACCCATTTCTAAGTGACTCTCTCACTTCACCTGATTTTGTCCACCACACATACTTATCCCATATTTCCTTTCACGGATGCTCCTACGGTGCCATCCCAGCCCTAGATCCATCCCATCCCAGATAGACCACCAAGCATAAACAAGGCCCCACAGAGCCTCGGCTCCTGCGGTTAAATCCTGCCTCACCCACACCTGAACCATGTGTTAGTCACCAATATGCTTGAATCACTAAATCAACATCCAGAACCTGGACCTCTGTAGCTTACCTGTCCATGTCCATGTCCTGTCCTGTCCCAAGCTAGATCTGAACAATACAGGTCGCAATGAAATGTCTCGTGGTATTCTAATCAAATGTGAGCAACTGAGATGTTCCTAGTGGGGCGGCGGACCCAGAATCCGCTCGGGCTTCGCTGCATATACGCGAGCGGCACACCATCGACGCCAAATCACAATGAAAGGCTGGGCTTGGTAGCACAAAGAGGGGCAAGACATCCTACCTAAATCTACAATGGCCAAAGGGTGTGCTAAGCTGCATAAAAGCCGCGTAACACAGTGCTAACCTAGGACGTCCCGCCTATTGCATACACTGCATCCAAGGCCGAGTGAGAGACGCTCGCATTCATCAATCTTAATTTGTCTGGAAAAATGCATCACATAACGTGCAGTAGTAGAGCTGTGTTACAAAAGTAACATTTCCTTGCATCCCAAAATAGATTTTGGTGACACCAAGTTAGCGTCACGCAAGGAATGGTAGATAATTTTAGTGTATGCCATTTTTCCGAAAAAAAAACTGGCTTCTAAACTGCGCCACTCCCAAAGTTTGGGAGTGAAACACTTAAGGAATGCCGTATAAATTAGATTAACCAACCATGTTACCGTCTGAACGCTCATTGTCCTAAACATTAAGTCACACAAATAGATCAAACATTTTCGAATACGAAGTCTTCATATATTTACATTCATTTATCTACTTTGTTTTTCTTGGCCTCATACAGCGGTGATGCCAATACATCTTTTTGTCTTTTTGTGTGATGTTTAAATATAATATCTATAGAGTAAAATATTAATCAAACTGTCTTCAAAATGACACCACTGACACCTTTTACTGAATTTCCTAGGCGTACTGTTCCATTCGCCTGCTACCTAAATGCGTGAGACAAACGCACACTCGACTGAACAACCATAGCGAATGAAAGAGATAATTCGCGGTAAAGCGATAACTGCTATAAAAATGTCACATTTGGAGACCTCTCTTGTGAAGCTTTTGATTCAAAACGTGGCTCGATAATGATAAATCTAAACCATTCCAGC